TGTATTAAGTAGTTATTTCATGTTTTAAAGTTAATATGTAAGACCTTAATAACTAATTATCAGCCTTTGAAAAATTAAATTTCTGAAGGAAATTCAAAAAAGGAGAAGGCTGTGGCACTTCCAGCAGCCAATACATGCAATCTAAAAAAAACAATGGCTAGTAAGATACTAGTAAAAATTGCAAATTTAAATGATAAACTACCTTTCCTTTATATCTTACTAATTCCTGTTCTTATTTTTATTTGTACTCTAGATTTGTGTTCTTTATGTAAGTTCTTAGGATGGGTGCATAGTTCCAACATTACTTCTATAGTATTTTGCGGAGGGGGGTTATGATTTGTGTTTGATACTGGAAATCAAACTCAATTACAGTATTTTTAAAATTTATTAATCACACATCAATAGGAGAACATTTAAACCATGGTATATTCATAGAATATTTGACTTCCTTTAGGAAGAATAAGGAAATATCTTTATAAGACATTAAGTGATTAAAAAGCAAATTATGGAAGGGGCTGGTGTTGTGCCTCAACAGTAGAGCGTTCCCCTAGCGTTCCCTTAGCGTGTGGGAGCCACTGGATTTGTTCCTCAGCACCATATAAAAATAAATAAAACAAAGGTATTGTGTCCAACTACAATTAAAAAATATATGCATATATATATATGTGTATTATATATATATTTTTTAAGCAAATTATGGGGCTGGGGTTGTGGCTGTGCAGTAGAGTGCTTACTTAGCACATACGAGGCACTGGGTTCGATCCTCAGCACCACATAAAAATAAATAAATAAATAAAGCTATTGTGTCCAACTACAACTAAATATATATATATATATATATTTTTTTTTAAAGCAAATTATGGACAGAGTATTTGTCATATTTCCACTTGCATGAGTTAAATAATTTATGTAGGTATCTGTATATGAGTGTTTATGTAAAGTGTGTGCATGTTCTTGAAGACATAGAATATGCTTATCTGTACATTTTAAATATATAATGAGTACATTACTATACATGCATTTAAATACATATGCATATATGTTTTTGTTACGTATAGTGATCTCCATCAAAACTGTTGAAATATTCACCCTGGACATTATAAAGAGCTTGATGCACAGGAGTAGCAAAGGGTAGGAGCTCACTCTTTATATGAATTATACAATTATCATAGTTTTCAAAATGCACATTCATTTAAATAACTTTTAAGGTAACCATTGCTAGAAAGAATATAAGAATCAAAATTCCCAAATAATTATAAGAAAAAAGCAACAAAGGAACCTGGTCAACTTAGCAAAAGTACAGCACTTGTTCTATGGCTCTAATGTCCCCGAATTGTCTGGATCCTGCCTACTTCTGTGATACCTCTTTTATTTTAAAAAATTTTTTTAGTTGTAGATGGACACAATACCTTTATTTTATTATTTTATTTATTTATGTGCTGCTGAGGATCAAACCCAGTGCCCCATGCGTGCAAAGCAAGCATGCTACCACTGAGCCACAACTCCATCCCTTCTCTGGTACCTCTTAACCTACATTTCCCTTTACAAGTTGATTGAAGAAACATCCACTTTTTTGTGTTTCTCCAATAAAGATCTTTCATTCCTACATTAAGGCTTTTGTTCTTTCTCTTTCCTACATTTGCAGTTTCCTTGATCTTCTCATGGCTGATTCCTTCTCATCATTTAAATCTCAGCAGTTACTGACTCACAGATTTTTCCTGATCATCATATAAAGTAGGACCCTTCCTTACTCTATGTCATCATCATATTTTACTTTTGGTGGGGGCTACTGATGATTGAACTCAGGGTCACTCAACCACTGAGCCACATCCTCAGCCCTATTTTGTATTTTATTTAGAGACAAGGTCTTACTGAGTTGCTTAGCTTTTGTTGAGGCTGGCTTTGAACTCATGATCCTCCTGCCTCAGCCTCTTGAGTTGCTGGGATTACAGGCATGCACAGCCACTGTGCTCAGCTTTTTTATATTTTTAATGACTTACCGGTGTCTGAATTTATCTTCACTTTAAAAATTAACTTTCATACATTTTATACATGTATTAGAACTTTGTCATATTTACTACTGTATGCCTATTACCTGGCATTTAATAGGTACTGAAAAATTTTGCTGAATTAATTTTTATAAAGGAGAAAACAGTCACAAACAAGAGGAACATTCTATACCATTAAGAACAGGTACCAGGTTCTAATTATAGACAATCCTCAGACTTAGAATTTTTCAACTTTATGTTGATGCAAAAATGATATGCTTTTAGTAGAAATGAGACTTCAGATTTTGAATTTTGATGTTTTTGTGCTACTGATATGCTGAATACTGTTGTCTCCCAAGTAGCAGTGAGCTGCTGCTGCTCATCAGTCACATAATCCCCAAGGTAAACAACCAGTACTCTGCAGTGTGATGTGTTGCTGACCTGTGATGTTCATAAATTGGGTTTATTAGATATACTTTGGATTTTTACAGTCGGACATAATCCCTTTATAAGTTGAGGAGCATCTACATTTTAAATAAATACATATTTACATATTTAAATAAAGATACATTTATTTATATAAATGTTGCTCCAGAGGTAGATTAAAACATCTCAGAATTACACCAACCATCTGACAAAAAAGTAAATAATGTTTCTAAAAGGTAAAAAAATATTTTCCACCAAAAGCAACCTGAGAAGAAAAGGAGCATAACCTAATGCAATAAACTTTAAAAACTTACAGCTAGTAAGCTAGGCAGTTATAGCGCAGAGAGCCCCAGCTTCCTAAGTCATGGCTTCCTAAGTCAGCTGTCTGTCCCCTCCTGTCCCACACTCCAAGCTCTGTAGGCAAGTCAGCAGAATCCTAAGAGAATTCATTCACATCCCAAGGGTGGAGAGAAAGAAAACAAGTGTTTAATTTTCCAACTGGGAAGTGGTAGAGACCTCTCCAAGAACCAAGGCAGTGAGAGAGATGAGACATAGACACCTGTCTTAGCTAAAACGAAGGCCTAGAGCAACCATCATGCTTACTTTTGAGATACACTCAGAATCCTAAACTTAGCATGGGGGATATAGTCCCCCAATTAAATGGTGCAAAATATCTAAGAACATCTCAGAAGAGTAAATAGAGCCCTAGTTTAGCCAGGTTCTTTCTCTCCTTGTGCTGTTCCCTTAGTTGAAAAGTGAGAGTGAATTTGAGAGTGGAAGACAAAGGAAATGGATCGCAAATGCTGCAGAGTTATTGTTAGCCAAATTATTAGAGCATTTGGAACACATGGACAGTCATATACTATGAACATGATGAAAAGAGATGGCTTGGCATTATGGTTTATGTTATTATAACAGAGAAAGAGAGAGCATTTGCAAATCAAAAGCTCCAGTGGGGAGGATAGGTATTTCAAGGATAAGAAAGGAATTACAGTGACTTCACACTGTAAAAACAACATAAATTCAATAAAGTTCAGATATCAAAAAACAAGATGATAATACGAGGTCAACAGGAAGATTTCTAAGAAAACAAACTGAAGCCAGCATATTATTGCAGAAATCACAAAAGTTTAGTCTATTCAGTGAATAAAATTATATTCAGTGGATGATACTAAAATGTAAAAAATATTGGCATGGAGGAAAAGCTTGAAATAATCAGAATAAATAAAAAGAATATAGAACTATTAGCTAACAGACATAGATGACAGATAACATAACAATAAGTATAATTGGTATTCTGTAATATACATAAGATATATTCAAAATAAAAAACAAGTCAAGCACAGTAGTACATGCTTGTCATCTCAGCAGCTCAGAAGGCTGAGACAGGAGGATCCCAAGTTTGAGACCAGCCTCAGCAATTTAGACTCTGTCTCAAAATAAAAACGTAAAAGTTCTAGTGATATAGCTTAGTGGTAGAGTGCCCCTGGGTTCAATCCCCAATCAAAGGAAGGAAGGAAGGAGGGAGAAAAAGAAAAGAGAAAGATAAGTTAGTTAACCACTGAGTGAGTACATTTTAATTTAACAGTCCTAATGAGGCTGGGCTGTGCTTACATCAAGCCTCCTGTGAGGAGAAATACACTTAAGGTTCCAGTGGGGAGGATAGGTATTTCAACGATAAGAAAGGAATTACAGTGACTTCACACAAATACAAAGGGGCCTTGCTACAAAAAGAGAATTTATTATTTTTGTTTCATTTTAGGTTTTTGGGGTTTTTTGTTTTGTTTTGTTTTGTTTTGTTTTGTTTTTTGCAGTTCTGAGGGTCAAACCCAGGGCCTCAGGCATGCCTGCTAGCACTGTGCCACTGAGCCACATCTCTAGCCTGTGAGAATTTATTTCTTAATCTGGATAAAGTCTTGTTTAAAAGAAAGATGTAGTGATAAGAATCCAGGGTAAGGAAGTAGTCATCATAATAGTCATCAAGCTAAAAGAAGAGGATCTGGAGTAACAGCAATAGGGGTAAAATGACAAAAAGAGGAAATAATTTTCACATGGATCCAGAAAAGCCTTTTGGAATTAATTCTTGAAAAAGTTTTAGTATCTGATTCACACCACTGTCTAAAGGACTTGTCAGGATCTTAATATGACAGTGTTTATCATTAGCAAATAGAATATATCACCATACATCTTTTTCTTGTCCAAATAAGACACAAAAGAGTGCCTATTGGTCCTATTTGAAGTTTAATTCTGTGGTATCCAAGAAAAGGCCAAAGAATAAAAACAGAGATGAATCTTTTACTGAGCTAACTCCCATAAGTGAAAAATGAGGAATCAAAATAATTCCATTATATAGAAGATGAATCAAATTTTCTTCAGCTACAGAGTTTTCAAGCCATGTGAGCACTTTCAGTTAACAAGGTAAAACTTAATTAGTGCCTATTTGATACTTTTCCTTTTATAGCAAGTCTTCTCTTTCTTAGAGGTATTGTGGTTGGTGGAACACTAACAATATACTTTTTCGGAATTTTAGTCCTATTCTATAGAATACTTTTTCTCAGTGAGACAGATGACAAAAGTAACAGGCTGATCACTTCTGAACCTTTTAGCTAGATAAGTGTAGTATCCATTCTTATCAGTTTAATATCTGATATATCCTCTATTAAGGACAAGTTATCAAATGGATTTGGAGCAGGGAGATGAAATAAGAGCTTGCTCTACCCTCTCCATATATCCCCCTGGTATTGCAGTCTTCCAGGAACAGTGTATCCCCTTGGGGGGAAGATAGATAGCTAAAAGTCTTTTATGTATGATTAAAATGATACCAAATATAGACAGAGTTATATTTGTTTGTTTGTTTTGTGGTGCTGGAGATGAACCAAGGGCCTTATCCATGCTATCCATGCACTGTACCGAGCTTCACCCCCAACCCTGGAGAAAGTTCTTTGAATTCCATAGGATTAAAAAATTAAACCTAGGCGGCATGATGGCACATGCCTGTTATCCCAGCCTGTCAGGAGGCTGAGATAGGAGGATTGTGAATTCAAAGCCAGCTTCAGCAATGGCGAGGCACTAAGCAACTCAGTGAGACTCTGTCTCTAAATAAAATACAAAATAGGGCTGGGAATGTAGTTCAGTGGTTGAGTGCCCCCAAGTTCAATCCCAATACCAAAAAGAAAAAAGCAAAAACAAAAAACCATAAATAAATAAATTCTATAGGTTAGTCTCTTACTAAGAAACCAAAAAAAGCCTGGTTGTGGTGGCATACACCTATAATCCCAGCAACTTGGGAGGCTAAGGCAGGTGGATTGCAAGTTCAAAGCCAGCTTCAGCAACTTAGTGAGACCCTAAACAACACAGCCAGACCCTGCCTCAAAATGAAATAGAAAAAGAGGATTGGGGTATGACTCAGTAGTTAAGTGCCATGGGTTCAATACCCAGTACAAAAAAAGAGAGAGACCCAAAAAACCCCGCAATTACCAATATTTATTGTTTGTATTTTACCAAATATTTGTAATAGGTAAATAATAAAATACATATATAAATAACAAAATATATATTTACCAGTGTATTATATAAAAAGCTGTCTTCTAGTGCTATTCTTATAAGTTTTCTGCTTTTAAGATATTTAATTTTCTTTGCCTATGTCTTCCATAACTAACTCCCTTTATCTAAACAACCTTTTACCATATATATATATATATATATATATATATATATATATATATATATATATATGTATATGTCATACCTCTTTGGTTTGAAAAAGGAATAAAACTATTCCTTAGAGTTTCATTGGAGTAGGAGGTTTTTCTGTTTTAGCTTGAACAATACATTCTTCAAAAAAGCTAACAGTGTCATGAAAAACAAAAAATACAGAAGGGACTATCATACATTAAATGAGACTAGGGAGATATAATAACCAAATATAGCATGAACCTTAGTTTGATTTTGGACAGAAATAAAACATTTGAATCGTTTGGGGAAAATTTGAATAGGAACTGTATATGTTCAATGATATTACGAAATTACTGTTAATTTATTATAATGGCATTTGGTTACATAGGACAGTTCCTTATAAGATGCATTTTGGAGTTTATAGTAAAATGTCATGATATCTGTAATTTATGTTCAAACGGTTCAGAAAAAATATGTTTGCATACATAAATACATTGCATGCATAATATATGTTGGATTATGAATAGAAAGAACAGAAGCTAATATGGCAATATACTAATTGGTAAATAAAACTAAAGGGCATATGGTGTCATTTTATTGTTACTTCAGCTCTTCTATAGATTTGAAAATTTTGAAAACTAGAATGTAAATAAAAACCTAGATCTTTTATATTTGCCTCCTGGTCTAGGGTGCTTTCTACTACCTCACTGTTACATCTAGTACATTAACTAGATGTTAACTGGTTCAGTTCTCAAAAACTCGTTAATGAATTGTTTGATCATATAGGGTATTTAAAAACCCACATCTTGAAACACAGCTTTTAAAATCAGCTATCTTCCTGTCTAAGGAAGTGTTCTTCCTGTGGCAAGATAGGGTAAATTATAACCAACATTAAGAACATAGATAAAGAAACAAACAAGAATGGCCTTTTAGACATGCTTATTACAATTTCTTTTGAGCAAAATAAACCTGAATAAATTTATACATTTAAGCAGGTTTGAAGTTCTTTTCTTTCTCTTGCCTTTTTTAGTGGTTATGTATTACTAAACCCACTTTCTCCCCAAACACTTGTTCAGAGCAACTTAACATCATACTCATTTTGGTTTTATTGCACTATAACATACAAACACATGTTGCTTAGAACCATAGAAAATACTTTTTTAAATTTCCTTTTTAATCTTCTGGCTTGCTGTACCACCACATTTAATTATTCAACTTTTAAATGGTGTATTGGAATGCAGTAGATGTAGGTAAAGTTACCTCTGAATAAAATATCTACTTCCTACTACACAGATAGTTTTTCTACTTTTTTTATTAGTTGCTCAAGACAATACAATGATTTTGACATATCATATATTTGATTCAAATAGGGTATGAATTCTCATTTTTCCACATGTACAGATTGCAGGATCACATTGGTTATACATCATGTGTATACATACAGCAATCCTAGTGTCAGTTGTATTCTACTGCCCTCCCTATCCCCCCCTCTCTTCCCCTCCCCTAACATCACTTTTTCTATTTTTTTTTTTTTTTGTGGGCCACACTTGTTGGTTTTTCAGTAAACTATATGTGACACACACTAGGCACATCTGTCTCTTTCTCTTCATTTCTTTTATTGTGGGAATAAAGTAGGTGAATGTATATGGCAAAGGTCCAGGTAGTTGAACACAAAAATCACTGCTCTTAGTACAGTATTCCTCTATACGCACACTTGTTATATTAGAAAATATAGCCTATTTTACTATGTCAAACCGTTGCCAGATAAATAAGTTAAAAAATTGGAATATTTCCCTCATTTATTTTCATATCCCTTTACAAATATTGATGCTTCCAAGTGCTTAAAGAATTATTTTCCTGGTCCCCAAATCTTTGTTTTTTCTTCATTCTTTAAAACAGTTACCTTAGTTATTGGTCATAGGGGTCATGTGTGTGGAATTTTCTCAGATCCTAAACATTTTGTTTAGTTCCTCATCATACCTTACCAAACTTTAAAATAATATTTTCTGTTTGAGAGCTAGGTTAACCAAGAAAAGGATTTGAGTTCAAAATTGAACCAACCCCTGAAGACAGGGAACTGACCAGCTGAAACTTAACATGGAAATAATGTGAAGTGAAACTGATAGCAGAATTGAAAGAAATTAAATTAAGGACTCTTGACAGTTTCCCTCTATTTATGTTTTAAAATATATTCACTCTGGAAATGTGGAGAATATATGTAAATAAGTTTATGAGTCTTGGTCATTTACCATGGTGCATTTTTGTTATATGTAAAATTAAACTAAAACATAATAAAATTAAACAGGGAAAATACTATTGGACGTCCTTAGGAAATAGATTATCCTATTAGGAATTTAATAAAAGTAGGATATGATTATTGTATATATTTATGGCTTGTACACAGAATTTTGAATTAGTGTTTAAAAAGGGTTGATTTTCTTATTAAGACCACTGTATTTCAAATGTAGCCTACACTGTGGCTATATCAGAGCAGATTTCAAAGCATACTGATTTTCAGGACCCCCTTCCAGTTATTTAGAATTCAGTAGGTCAGGAGTCTGTTTTCTTCATCTTTATGTTTATAAAAATTCCAAAATGATACTTCTCCACAGTCATCTTTTGGTAACCATTGTAATATTTCCTAGGTTATATTGTTTATATTATTGTATTCACTTAGCCATATCTTTAAAAATATTTATTTGGGTAAAAACTTTATTTTGGACAACACAGATGCCAGTTTATACTGGCATAGATAATAAAGAAGACTTATTGCCTCATATAATTAAAAAGTTTAGAAGTATAATATACTCTGAAAAGGTTTGATTTGTGCTCCAATATGTCATTAACCATGATACTATAGACTGCTCTCTTTGTCATTTCTGCCCTCAAAAGGTTTTCCTCCTTATGTAAAATTGACTAAAAAGTGAGCTTTGTTTAGCTGGGGATATAGCTCAGTTGGTAGAGTGCTTGCCTTACATGCACAAGACCCTGGGCTCAATCCCCAGCACCACCACCACCAAAAAAAAAAAAAAAAAAAGAGCTTTATGTCCATATACAAATTTGAGTATCTCTTATCCAAAGTCACATGAAATCAAGGATTGGAATTTTCCACTTGTAACATCATGTTAGTGTTCAAAGAGTTTTAGAGTTTGGAGCATTTCAGATTAGAAAAGCTCAATGTGTATGACTAAATCTTAGTATAAATTAAGAATTTATTAAAACAATATAGCTTAAAAATAGTGTCAAGTTATAGTTCATCTCTGTAATCTTTTTTTAAGTTATGTTCATTTCATCCCTTTTTTAAAATATAGATTTTTTTAGTTGTAGATGGACACAGTATATTTATTTATTTATTTTATATGGTGCTGAGGATTGAACCCAGTGTCTCACACATGCTAGGCAAGTGCTCTATCATGGAGCTCTAGCCCCAGCCTTTATTTCTGTAATCTTTTGCAGTAGGTTTTGTGGTTATTCCTGTCTTCCATTATATAGTGTCAATAGTATTGAAATTATCCCACCCTAACCGCATAGGTAGGACCTGATTTGTAGGGTCTAGACAAAACATAATAATCACATCTTGTTTGCAGTTATTGATTCAGTGGTTGCTCAAATAATGTGACATTCACAAATTTTACTCAGTTATGGTGTATAGCTTCTTTTTAAAAAAGTTTCTTGGGCTGGGTTGTAGCTCAGTGGTAGAGTGCTTGCCTTTCACATGTGAGGCTCTGGGTTTGATCCTCAGCACCACATAAAAAAATAAATAAAAATAAAGATATTCTGTACATCTACAACTAAAAAAAATTTCTTTTTAGTTGTTGGTAAACCTTTATTTTTATTTATTTATACATGGTGCTGAGAATAGAACCCAGTGCCTCACACATGCCAGGCAAGTATGCTACTGAGCAATAGCCCCAGCCCCGATAGTGAATAGCTTCGTATTCTGAATGTTRTTATAGGTTGAGCATCTCTAATCTGAAAATCCAAAATGCTCTAAAATATGAAAATTTTGAAAATAACTTGATGTCATGTGTGCAAATTCCACACCTGACTTTACATGATAGATTGCAGTCAAATGAGGTGTGCTGAGAATATTGTA